AATGTGCCCGGTTTATGGCAATAGGCTCACCCCCTATTACATGGGACTCATAACATAAATAGTGAAAAGTGGGTGTTACATTGTACAGTGGCATAATGTGCACCTCTGCCTACCCCTTCGGGGTTAAAAGGCGAGATTTTATGTTATGATATGTTGCAAGCAGAATCGCATAAATGTGTTAAAGACATATTTTGTTAAAGGTATTTTGAAAAAGAGAATATTCTGTTTCAATTGCATGTCTGAATGTTTGTTCGCCAATATCTCGCGATTGGCTGAACCGATATTGATGCGGTTTTCCGGAAAGTGTTTGTTCATTACACTTAGGAGAAGGTTTTGGTATATTAATTAACTGACTTAAAAAAAAGGTTTCAGTCGTTTTTTTAAACGTACCTAGTCTTATGAAAGAATTATTCTGTTACCTTTTATTATAAAAAATGTCAATGTGCCTTATCATTGTAACTTAGTCCAAAATCTGTTGATATGAAGCCGCATATATACGTTTGATACGCGTATACGCGCTTCAGGTGCGCTCTTGCCTCACTGCAAACCCCACAATCCGTGTCAAGTTCCTAATATTGTTATTTTCTTTTCCATAATTCTCAAATTGGATTTTATTTTTAAGCCACTGTTTAGCCTATGAATTGCCAATGCTATGTACGCCATTATTGTCGCATGCATCAGACGTTTATTTTGTTACTATTGTGTATTTTTAATGTTATATGTTTGTGATGTGGCCGTACTCCTTCGAATAAATAAATAAATACTCGCGTTGCCTGCGCGTATAAAAAAACGACGTGTGCTATAGGCCTAATACCCAGAGACGTTGAAATTGTCGAATTTTAAGGACGTTGGTCCTTGCTGATGTTAATGACCTATGTAGTGGTATGGCGGCGTTCATTAAGGAAGAAGTACAGCTATTTATTACGCCACGACAGATATGCAGACAACAATGCAAGAACAATGACTGCCTCATTAGCCGAGTGGTCGCAAGTGCGACTGCCGGGCAAGGGGTCTCGGGTTCGATTTCCGGGTCGGGCAAAGTATTACTGGGTTTATAAAAAACCTCAGTAGTAGCACGGAGTCTGGAAATGTGCCCGGTATATGGCTATAGGCTCACCCCCTATTACATGGGATTCATAACATAAATAGTGAAAAGTAGGTGTTACATTGTAGTATAATGTGCACCTCTGCCTGCCCCTTCGGGGATAAAAGGCGTGATGTTATGTTAATGCAAGAACACTTATCTAATAAGAAGTTCATGGTGCTCAGTTTAATGTTGTGACACCGGCGGCGCGAAGGCTCGAGTCCACAGCGCTGATTTTCAGCAATTTATTTAATTAACCGTTTGTAAACAATAATTGGATGTTATTATGAAAATGTAGTTTGTTGCGAACATCGTCAATCATTTTTAATTGCTTTATTTCGACAATATTCATTACTTAGCTCAGTGAACTGTTTTTATTAGGTATAGACGAAGTTCTGACTATCTCTTTTAAAGAAATAAATGTCATGATTCACCCTTATTATCTTTCTCATCATAATTTTATATCATCATCATCCACAGCCGGAAGACGTGCACTGCTGGACAAAGGCCTCCCCCTTAGTCCTCCACGTCGAACGACAACTCGCCACCCGCATCTACTGGCTCCCCGCAAATCTGGCGATGTCGTCGGTCCACCTAGCGGGAGGCCTTCGTCTTCCGGTCCGTGGTCTCCACTCAAGAACTTTCCTGGCCCATCTGCCGTCAGTCCTTCGAGCGACGTGGCCTGCCCATTGCCATTTTAGTCTGCAGATTCTGCGAGCTATGTCGGTAACTCTAGTTCTTTGGCGAATATTTCGGATTTTGTCGCCGCAAAGAAACCCCGAGCATAGCTCTCTCCATCGCAAGC